TGAAAAATGAGATGGGAGGAAAAATTAATATTTTAGAACTTTTGCGTTCACTCACAAAACTTTTGCATTCCCGAGAAACTTTGTGTTCGCTCACCCAACATTGAGTTCCCCTTAGAAACGTTTGCCAACTTTAGAGTTTTGCGAGTGAACGCAAAGTCTCTCCGGGGAATGCAAAGCATTGAAATATAATTTTTTCTCCCATCTTCTATTTGTTTCCATCACCATGGGTGCTTCTCAATATCCCTCCTCGTCTCCTCTCTCCTCCGTCCTCCATCCTATGACCCGGATACCGATCGAGCTCAGCCATCTTGAAGGACATCTCAGTTCTCTAATTGCACCGCGAGGATCGAGATTCGAGGAGTGAGGAGGCTTCATGAGGAGCTATGAGTGAGGATATACGGATGTATCCTTTGCGGAAGTGTTTTATCGACTAAACGTGACGCACGTATAAATTCTCCTCCCCCTTCACGTCGGTCACAATAATTTTAATTTATACTTTACCTTTGCAGTTTATATAAACCACACATCTCACATATTTCAACGGGGTATCTTGCTTTATTATTATTTATTACTAATTTCTTAAATAACCAAACTTCAATAACATAAGGGCAGATCCTTTGAGCGCTGCTGATGACGCTGTGAAGTGACGCTCGAGTGATCAAGTGTTCCAATGTATAAAAAAGCTTTCATTCGATTCCTCCGTCCTCCTTTTCTTTCCTTGCAGCCTTCCCTCGCGTCCTACAGGGGGTGGAGCTGAGACGCGAGGAAAGGGAACGAGGATGCACAAATAAGAATTGAGAAGCACCCCATGTCCCTTTAGGGGCGCCATAGTGCAGCTGCTTTGATCAGTTTGAAGAAAATGGATTTTAAAGGAACAGTTCAACTAAAAATGAAACCACTGTCATTATTTATTTACCATTATGCTTTTCTATTTTCAGGGGGGAAATGACATAACGTAGAGATCAAACCTTCATTAAACCTGGTGAAATTAACTTAAACTTAAACTTAAACTAACTAACTTAAAGGGTTAGTTCACCCAAAAATGAAAATTCTGTCAGTAATTACTCGCCCTCATGTTGTTCCAACCCCGTAAGACTTTCGTTCATCTTCGGAACACGAATTAAGATATGTTTGATGAAATCTGAGAGCTGGATCACTCCTCCATACTAGTCCATATGCTTCTTCAGGGATTGAACTTGCCGGCCTCGAAAAGTTATTAAAGACATCGTTAAAATAGTCCGAGTGACTACAGTGGCTCAATCTTAAGTTTATCAAGCGACGAGAATACTTTTTGTGCGCAAAAAACCCTAAAATAACGACTTTATTTCAACTATTCATTTCCTTCTCTGTGGGCCTGGAGTCAGTTCACTAGTGTAATAGCGTAAGCTTCTGTTGTTGTACGTCACACGCATCACGCAGATGACCAGCGTCGGCCAATAGTGAGCCTACGTGTGACGTAGCTCTACGGAATCACACTACGTTAACTGACTAGAGGCCCAAAGAGTAGGAAATGAATAGTTTAAATAAAGTCGTTATTTTTGTTTGTTTTGCGCACAAAAAGTATTCTCGTCGCTTGATAAACTTAAGATTGAGCCACTGTAGTCACTCGGACTATTTTAACAATGTCTTTAATAACTTTTCGAGGCCGGCAAGTTTCAATCCCTGAAGAAGCATATGGACTAGTATGGAGGAGTGATCCAGCTCTCAGATTTCATCAAAAATATCTTAATTCGTGTTCCGAGGATGAACGAAGGTCTTATGGGGTTGGAACAACATGAGGGTGAGTAATTACTGACAGAATTGTCATTTTTGGGTGAACTAACCCTTTAAATCTGAACTTGAAGTCACAGAATTGTAATCTTTGGGTGAACTATCCCTTTAAACCAATAATAACTGACTGATGTAATATATGATTCAAAATTAATTTAGCCTATAGTTTTTGCATCATTACCCCAGTCTTCAGTGTCACGTGATCCTTCAGAAACCGTAGTATGCTGATTTTCTGCTCAAGAAACATTTTTATCATCAATGTTGTAAACAGTTGAGCTGCTTAAAATTTTTGTGGAAAGTTCAAAAGAACAGCATTTATTTGACCGAAATCTTTAGTAACACATGTCTTTAATGTCACTTTTGATCAATTTATGGCAAGTATAAGTGTTATTATTATTATATTTTTTTTTTCCTTTTGAAAGGTAAATTAGCTACATAGAGAAACTGACTATATATAAACTGTGGTAAGACTTTACATTGTTCTGACCATGGCACAAATGTGACACAAATTAGGTGAAAGAAAATCCAGGCAACACCTCTGCGTTCCCAGATACACGCTCTCACACACACACACACACACACACACACACACACACACACACACACACACACACACACACACACGCGCGTTCTATGCCACTCCTTCATAACCTCCTAAACAATCTGCATGTGATACTGAGAGAAGGGGGGGGAATCACACAGCACCTGGTGACCTTTACTCTCACACAATGAGCAAGAAACAGGTCAAAACAGCCGTCTGACGCCGGACAGACAGACTGGTTAAACTAGCCTTTACTCCAGAGCTCGCAGGTCTCATTGTCATGTCCACAATACTGTGACCTGCCCTGAGGGATCAACCCATACTTATGAGATAACTGACTTGTCCTTCGCCCCCCAGAAAATTACACCTTTTTCGGTGTCTTCCACAAAAAGAAGGAGCGTCTATGAGAGTAAATGTAAAGTGTTTCTATTCATTTGAGTGCATTGCGTGACTGAATATCATTTGGACACCAGTTCTTTCTACATATGCATGTGTTTAAATAGAGAGAGGTCAATAGGGAGACACAAATATAAAGAGTAAATACTGATAGCAAGCGACGTATTGAGGCAGGATAGTTAAATAGCAAGATATAGAGCAATTGTCTTTCTGTTCTTGACCTCCTGACCTTTTTTCATGCATCCTTCCATCGGGCAGCACTGCGGTGCATGGGAACGACTGGTGTTAATTGATGCCTGTGAGCAGATAGACTCTCGGTTTGGGTCGTGGGAGCAGTAGGGGTCGTGGACGTGCCAGGAGTGTAATCATGTTCTGGGCGGGTCAGCAACCTTTGTCGTTACCACATAATCCTCTCTAACTGAAAGACCATATGTAGCTCACAGAGCATATAAGCATCAATAACACCAGTTACTCGTGAGCACTTGTTCACATCCGTCTCATTATGAGCGGTGTTTATTTAGCCCCTGTAAGCTTGTCTGAATGTCTTTAGCAAGATGCGGGCAGTCAGTGAAAGAAAGGTAAAGTACTGTTTTGAGGTCAGGTGATTTGATTGGTATACAAATGGATTTATTTCCATTATGTTTACCTTCAAATGAACCTATTTAATATCACTGCTTACTTTTGTGACCAAACCTTAGTTTGAGATTCGACTTCATATTATGTGTCTTGATGTACTAGAATTGACATCATTTGATATAATGCACTTATTTTGTACATACATGTTTTTAGATTGTATTTATTTCTGTATTTTCATCTATAATTACACTGTTGACCCTTCTCATACCCCTTAACCCCCCCCAATCTATTCTATCACAAAACCTGCTAACCGTATCCCGCCTCAATAGCAGCAAAAGTGTTTTGCATGGAAGCTTGTTTCCACCACTGAATCATTTTATTTCTCAGAATTGTGGAATATTAACTTGCAATTGCATGAAAAAAGTCAGAATTGTGAGACATAAACTCGTAATTGCGAGGGGAAAAGTCATAATTGCGAGATATAAACTTGTAGTTGCAGGGGAAAAGTCAGAATTGCAAGATATAAACTTGTAATTGTCAAAGAGAAAAGTCAGAATTGCGGGGAAAAAGTCACAATTGCAAGATATAGCCTATAAACTCGTAATTGTAAGGGGGGAAAGTCAGAATTGTGATACGAATTTATTTATTTTTTTGGCCGTAAGTACTTGTGTTGTTGTTTGACTGAGGTCAGTTTCTAGAATATGATGTCCCACAATCCTGTGTAGTTTGACTGTTGGTGGAAAGAATAAAAATGGCATCTGACCGAGCAGCTACCTAAAATGAATAGGCTTTAATTTTTTTTAAATGTATGATTTCATTTCTATCTAGAAATAAGCATTGTAATCATCAAATATTTTCTTAGTTATCTCTAAAGTTCACTTGAGTGACATTGGGTTTCAGACATGCCATGCACTGTCTGGTCAAAACTCGTTAGGCCTATAGGGAAGTAGGCCTATCATAAAACGTCATAATAGATACAAAAATTGTAGATTGTAAAACTATTTAAACATCAAATGAAACAAAAGGGCAAAAATAAATAAATTACACATTTATTTGATTATCACTTCCTTTAAAAATAAACACTTCCTTTAACACTTCCTTTCTAATTGGATCTTATGCAATAAGGAATGACTCTGCAGTTGTGCTTTTTTAAATAGAAAAGGTACGGAGGTCGTTTTATTAGGCTATTAAAACCATAGACAGTAAGATTAAAACATAGCTGGGAAGAATTTGGGTTTAACGTGTTTATTCTGGATACTGTAGGAATAACTGAGGTAGTGACATCGCAGTGCCATCTAGTGGTGGATGTATTATTTCACACTTATACCAGATGCTAATTTATTGGTTTGTTTGAATATAAAAATCCCCGTTGTATAAATTAAATATATATATATATTCGTCGACATTTTAATTATTTTGTCCAAAAATATCCCTCAATCGTTTGCTATGTTGATATCGAAACGTATTTCATTTCCTAATAACAGACTTTTTGAATTATCTAAATATTAGCATTACTAATTTAAATCGATTAGCATTCCAGGAAGACAAGATTCTGACATTATCATATAGGCTATTCTACGTCTCAGGTTTCTACGCCTCCCAGCCAGGCTAGTAAACTCGGGAGGGTGGGGATTGGGATTGGGATTGGGTGGTGTGCTCTCCAAACTTTTCTGAGGAAAAGCCCAGACTCAGAAAGTTGAGTGAGTGACAGGACTGCCGCGTTCTGATTCTGAAGAGATGTCTGAGTTAGGCTCCATTGATAATCCGGTGAAGTTCAAGGATCAAGACTATGACTCCCTGCTGCAGAAGTGTCTCAAATCTGCCCTTCTCTTCTCAGACACGGTGTTTGCAGCGAGCCAAAGCTCCCTCGGGATTCCTGCGGATCCTGATCCTAAAAAGGCAGTAAAGTGGCTGCGTCCAAAGGTAACTGATCATGAATAGTCTTTTTTTATCACCAGATGGGCTTGATTTTCCAGAAAGAATGTTATAGGTTGTTATTGTTTCTATGCCTTTAATTTACAGCAGATTGATTTAATTGGTAACAACACTGTAAGAAAAAGTTGCTGCCTTAAATAGAGTAGGCTACAATCAACTTGGATGTTTTAAGTCATTTCAACTACAATTACATTAAGCAATGTAAAAACATATTTTGTCATAACTTATTGATCTTATAATTTTTTACAGTGTATAAGAGTAGTTATTTGACCATATTTTACAATTTAATTAAAAGACACATCAGAGAGTGATACAGAAAACAGGAGGAATTGTCATTGATAACAAGCTTAAGCTAGTAAAGCCCACAGAACTTTATGGGGTCATTAAAGGTGATGTTGCACCTCAAGGGGAAATTCAGTTACTCTGTTACTCTGCCTTAAATATTTAAGGTAAAATCACAAATACAACCTGCATTATTTTCAACCACTTTTTGAATGTATTTATGGTTAAAGAATATATGACAACACATTCAGCAGAATCAACAGAAAAGTTAAATGGATGAAAAAAAGCTTATTAAAGCAATACATATAATATTAAAGCAAAAAGGCTAACAAATGGGGCATTTATCAAGGTGAATAATTTACATAGTATGTTTTTTTAATTCCTTTTAAAGATTTAAGATTTAACCATTTACTCACTCTCATGTCATTCCAAACATGTATGAACTTCTCAACATAAAGGAAGATACTTAGAAGAATGTGGATAACCAAAGCATTTCAGTTCCCATTGACTTCTATTCAATTTTGTTTGTCCATGCAATGGAAATCAATGGGAAACGAAACAGTTTAGTAACAAACATTCTTCAAAATATCTTTTTTTTTTTTGTTCAGCAGAAGAAAGAAAGTCATACAGGTCTGAAATGACATGAGGGTGTGTAAATGTTGACAGAATTTTCATTTTTGGGTGAACTATCCCTTTAAGACAGTCAGCCAGACCCTGAACCTGAAAAGTTCTCCTACGCATGCATATGCTTTCAGATGTTCTGATCAACCCATCGCGTGTACTTGCAAATTGTTTTTGGCTCACACCCATCTCCTCTCCCCCTCTTCAGGAAATCACCAGTAATGCTGTCTTTGTTGAGGGCACCATGGGCACCACCGATATCTGCCAGGGCCAGCTGGGTGAGTGCATGCTCGTGTTAGCGCACGCTTGTTCATATTTCATGCCAGGATAATGGGATAACGCCTTACTGCACCTCTCAGAAACCAAATCACCCGTAAGCACCCTCAAGGCATGAGGGCTATCAGAGAAATATCCGTCTTTGGCAACGCTCCCACTCTTCCTCTCCTTATCGTGCAGATGCCCTCCCCCATCTTCTTCCACCCAGATCTTCCTCATCGTGCTTAATGTACTATCCCTATTCTAGCCCTTGTAGCCGCGAGACACTGCGCGGATCTCTGAGTCCCTGCTGAGAGACGCAACACGAGCCGCCGCAGGCAACGCACATCAAAAACACCACAAATGTACCAGAGACAGGGAGGGATGAAAGCAGAGGGAAGAAGGAGGGAGCGAGAGGTTGGATTGGCATTATCTGTACCCCCCTCCCTCACCCGCCCCCTGTTTCCACCCACCTAAAGAATAACAATCATTGTGCACAGCGGGGATTGTTTTATTGTTTTGCCTCTCTCTTCCTCTGCACATATGCCGTTGATTTGGAGTGTTTTTGTTGACGTACAATGTTCAACATTTACACACTCAGCTTTATTCAGTGTTACCCAACCTTTTTTTTTGTCTCATGTACGCCCAAAGATCCATCAGAAAGGGTCAAGTACCTCTTTATCAACTCCAAACCAAAAGTGTTTCGTTTAACGTGCATTTTGACGAATGTAACAGCAAAATCAAAGAATTAGAATAAAAGAGTAATAATAGGCTAATTATCTACATGTACTTACTATAAGGTAAGGGTTAGGATGAGGGGTTGGGTTTGGGTCATTCCACTGCCCTACATTTCAGGTTTTCACAAAGGTCCCGTTCACACATAGTTTACCAGTAAAAATCTGCTTCTCTTTTGGTATCCCCCAGGACACAGTACTATTTAAGCAATAATTATCATTGTCACAGCAGCATCTGGTTACCATTTATTTGCGAAACTCGTCATTTCTAAGTTTTCTTGTGTACACTCATAAAGAACTGCGGGCATCTTGTATCAAAGCAGTCGGATCTGTGCTTATAAATCATGAAGTGTGCGTTTGCCACTCAGGATTTGGATGGCCTCTCTAAATAATAAATGAACATCGCAACGCATTACTAGAATAACAAACGCATGTAAATAATCTCATTTGAATGGAATTAAACCCAAATAATGCCTTATTCTTAGCACTTCAAGCAGAAATTTTAATTATTTGTTTTCAAGTGACTTTCCACATCAACATATCCAGGCCGTTTCCTTGCGGTCGGAAGATTAATTGGACGTACTCAGTTGTAGAGCTCTGTTTGGGGTTATTCCTATGGGAGCTGGTGTGTTAAGTATGTTTTTTTGTGAAGTGTTGTTTCCCCCACACGGAGCAAACGGACATCTGTTACCTGTTACAGAGGAATGTCTCAGTGTGTGTGTGACAGACAGCATGTCTCCTGCTTCTTCAAAGCTTGACCTTGCACCTTATGTTTGCGGCTGTGGTCATGTGTTTGTACATAAATGTTGAGAGGATTGTGTAACAGTGCTGTGTTGGTGTCCCGCTTCAGGTAACTGCTGGCTGCTGGCGGCCCTGTCCTGTCTCACCATGCACCCGACTCTGTTTGTCAAAGTGGTTCCATGTGGACAAAGCCTGAGTGAATCCTACGCTGGCATCTTCCGTTTCAGGGTAAGGAGAGAGCACGAAACCGACAATAAAAAAAGACAGTTATGAGACGCTCACAAATTTATGAGATTATTCTTTTCAAATGGTTAAATACGTCATGGTTTTCTTCCACAGTTACTATTGAATCTTATATAAAACTTGATCGGTGACTGTAATGAGTGATTGATAGGGAAAGCATGAAAGAACCCATGAATTTTACATAAAGCGGGCTGTTTTTTATAGTCCAAGTGGGGGTTTGAGAGGGCGTCGAATCAGGCTAGAATTGATATCCTCGTTTGAATGTCTGCTTATGCGTCTAGATTTGGAGATGCAGTACGTACGTCCTCGGGAATGGTAATTAAAATCAGTCTTCTTTGACCTTACCATCACTAACAGCTGAGGTTCATTCCAGAAACAACTCCTGTCATCTTCCCTTTGTCCCGATGACATGTACATCTGCATGTCCCTCCCCCTTTATGCACCGCATTGGCACAAATTATCATAATTCAGTTGTCTGTTTTTCATTCACAGAGAAAGAACATTGTGTTTCTGTTTGTATATTTGTTGCAGGCCCCTTTAAAATCAGCCTTAAACCTATTTGCTTAGTCTAATAATGATCAGATTGGTCGATATAATCCAAAGTTTGGAATGATTACAGTGAGCCTAAAGTTGCCAACTTTCATGTTTTCACTGTTATTGAGAACAAACAGCCTGAATAGTTCTTAATTTGTCCACCCCTCAGGAATCCTGTCCATCTTGTTACTGAGCAGGAACAACCAGAGAGAGATAAACGTACTAAAAAAAAGCTGCACTTATATTGGTAGCCTGAAAAAAGAGGCCCAAAACATGATAGCAGCTCTGCAATTCACCATCATCATGTCGACAGATGAGGTCATTCAAATTACACAGTTATTACAGTTTGATTATGAAGTATAAACTATAGACTATATAGATCTGGCTATGTGAGACTATAGTGAATTAATCTCTTTAAAGTGCATTGCAGTACAGAATGTCTCTTTCAGCATTATCCTGAACATTATATAAGCATTTATTTCATGTGTCACTTTACGGAAGAGAGGCTCTCAGGAGCGCGTAAACGTCACATGCTTTTGATTTTCCCGGCAAAAACGACCCGAATTACAAGCTCTTTACACGTGTTCATATATAGCTCCTTTAAGCTGTTCTCTAAAAAAAGATAAATGAGACAGAGGAAAATAATAGGCACATATTAATTATTTAGTAAATTAGAAAAACAAAAACATTTACTAATGCATAATTCTGTCACAGTTCTATAATTTCAAGTATGATATATATTTTTAGACTTCGATAAGTTACCCGAGAAATTTCACTTCAAACACCATGTAAAAAATTGCACACAAAAAAAACCCATACAAAACAAAAACTTAGCTGTTCACTTTTTCATGTGCATCTTTCAATAACATGTTGCTGTTATACAATGAGACACGATAATAAATTATTATAAAAAAATTATAATACATTTTTCTCACCTTCAGTACTCCCCAGGGTTTTCCGTTCTGAAGCACAAAGTGACGAGTAAACGACTGCGAGTAGTCTGTAATTATTATTGCAATGTTAATTGTTTCAGAGAGATCACCTTGAAGCCTTGCAATAAAACAAGCCACTACAGCTCTCGTGGCGTGTGTGCTGTTGTGTGCGTGGTTATGAGCTGAGGTTAAACTTGTGAGATAACAGCACAGTTAATTAAACAATCAAAACATATTAGCACTGAAGAGCTCTTATGGAAGGTTGCTCAGCGTTATGTAATTGTTATGCCATTCTCATTATATAATTACATTCCACCTGCCGTAGTATTACATTCGGAGGTTAAACAGGTATGTGCAACATGACATGACCTGATCCAGGAGGGAAAGAGAGGTGAGGAAAGAAAGAGAGTGACAGGAGAGAAATGAGAAAACAAGGAGTTAGAGGACTGTTGATTGGTGGACGATTCCTGAAATGTCTAGGCTTGTTACTGTAGCCCAAGGACATGGACACAGACATGTGGACACACACATAGTGCAGTGCTACCTGCAGACTGACATGTCCATTCTCGCCTGTCTAACATCACATAAAGCCTTTCAGCTTCACGTTTAAGGGGTCATTCATACAGTTTCATTACATGAAGTATTAATATGAATAAAGTGTTTTACACCAAAGACTTAGACTTAGACTTAACTTTATTGTCATTCTCACAACACGGATGAGGGGAACGAAATAACAACTCAGGTCTCGGTGTTGACCAACTACTTCAGTAATTAATAAAAATACTTTAACAAAATAGTCATAATTTAGTGTTTCATTAATATTTTCCACCCTAAATTTTCTGTTTTTGTTGCTGTGCCTTTATGACTTTTATGTAAATTAAAGCACACTATCGTTCAAACGTTTGGGTCAGTATTTTTTTTTTTTTTTGAGAAGGCTTTTTTGATTCGGCAAGGATGCATTAAATCAACCAAAAGTGACATTAAATAAATGACACATCAAATAAATGCTGTTCTTTTAAACTTTCTATTCATCAAAGAATCCTGAAAATATATATATCATGGTTTCCACAAAAAAATATTAACCAGCACAACTTTTCAGCTGAAGCACAACCAAAACAACATTCTGGTTCAACTCCTAGATGTGTACCTTTTAATTGTAATAATATTTCACAATTTTACTGTTTTTTGTTTTTTGTTGTTCTAAAAAAATGCAACATTTGCAACCATAAGACTCTTTTTATATATATATATATATATATATATATATATATATATATATATATATATAAACATACAAATCTTACCAACCCCCCATTTTTGAACGGTAGTGCAAATTTTCAAGTAAATGTTCGCTTCTCCTAATATGACTCATTTAAAACAGAGGAAATATACTGGCCCAAACTGAAAAGATACTTTGGAGACCCATAAAGCAGTAAAGCATCCCACTTTTTCAGGTGCATCAGCACCCGAATGTGCTTGTACAGAGCAAATGTAACCCTGTTCTCTCTCTCTCTCTCTCTCTCTCTCTCTCTCTGTGTGTGTGTGTGTGGTGTCTGGCAGTATGGTGAGTGGGTGGAGGTGGTAGTGGATGACAGGCTGCCTGTGAGAGAGGGCCGTCTGCTTTTCAGCTACTCTCGCACCACCAACGAGTTCTGGAGCGCCCTGGTGGAGAAAGCTTATGCCAAGTCAGTTCCAGCATATGTGTCCTCGACTGTGTGGGCCTGCGACTATTCATTAGTGACACTGCTCACGTGAAGGCCATTGTTCCTTTTGTGTTATTTAAGGACTGATATTTTTAGAAAAAACATCCAGTTGTGAAAAATCATCAAATACAAGCAATGGATATAGAGTAATTAATGTGGAATCAATCCAACCAATAGAAGCCAATTATTAATGTGTGTGTGTCTCTATCTGTCTGTTCTTAAAGGCTGATTGGATCTTACGGCAGTCTGAAAGGGGGGATTATCTCCGAGGGAATGGAGGATTTCACAGGGGGTATTGCCTACTCCCTCCCGGTGTCTTCCCGACCCCCACGCATGCTCTGGAAAGCCATCACTGCTGCGCTGGCCAGGAGCAGTCTGATCAGCTGCTTCATACATGTACAGACACATATTCACATAGGCTCAGTATATGACCATAATCCTATCCATGATTTCCCTGCTGTAAAATCCAGCATTGCTGGTCACTAGAATAAGGTATGTTTTGCATGCTATAGGACCAGCATGTGAAGCAGGAGTGCTGGTGGACACATCAGTTTAGCTTGAGAACAGTATGACTGTGCTGGTCCACCAGGACTACACTATACACTGTACTACACTATAGGATTTATGCAGATCTAATCAGGACCAACATGCAATTGTATGCTGGATCTTTCAGCAGGATGTTGACATACTGTGTGTTTTGTGTGCAGGCTACCAGTGTGAAGGACATTGGCATTGTGACATCAGAGGGTCTCATCAAAGGTCATGCTTATGCCATCACTGATACAGATAAGGTATGAGAATAAGGCACATACACACGAATTCAGGAACATGAACATTGTAGGAATGACACAAAGAATAATATTTAAGAATTTTTCTTTTAATTGTGACTATTTTCTTTAGAATGTGTGTCTTTTGAATTTGGGGTGAAATATAATCTGGATGTGTCATAACAGTTTTTGAATGATTTATCAAATAGGTTTTCACATGCTCTCTCTCTCTCTCTCTCTCTCTCTCACTCTCTCTCTCTCTCTCTCTCTCTCTCTCTCTCTCTCTCTCTCTCTCTCTCTCTCTCTCTCTCCTCTCTCTCTCTCTCTCTCTCTCTCTCTCTCTCTCTCTCTCTCTCTCTCTCTCTCTCTCTCTCTCTCTCTCTCTCTCTCTCTCTCTCTCTCTCTCTCTCTCTCTCTCTCTCTCTGTGTGTGTGTGTGTTTGTGAGTCCTGATAAACTCCACATCTTTTGGTACCCATGAGGAAAACAGCTTATAAATCATACTAAGTGATGTTTTTTGAAAATGTAAAAATGCAGAAAGTTTTCTGTGAGTCTTTTGTTTAGGTGTAGGGTTAGTGTAAGGGGATAGAATATACAGTTTGTACAGTATAAAATCATTATGCCTATGGAAAGTCATAAAACATGAAAACACTACGTGTGTGCGTGTGTGTGTGTGTGTGTGTGGATGGAAGTAGGTATACCAGAAATCTTTGACATTGTGGGGATATTTTTTGGTCCCCAATGAGGAAAACAGCTTATAAATCATACAGATTATGGAAAGTCCCCATAAATAAAACATGGAAACCCAATGTGTTTGTGTGTGTGTGTGTGTGTGAAGGTCCAGAAGGTGTCAGAAGAGGTGTTCCTGCTGAGGCTGCGTAACCCCTGGGGGTTTGTTGAGTACTGTGGACCCTGGAGTGACAAGTGAGAAAGACTTCAGCAGATCATTGAGTTACCAGCACTGCATCTCAGAGCTGCTGAAGACTGGGCACTTGTGTTTGTGTGTGTGCAGGTGTAAACACTGGGCACTTGTGTTTGTGTGTGTGCAGGTGTAAAGACTGGGACTTTATAGACAATGCTCAGAAGGCCAAACTTGAGTTGGCCAAAGCTGATGATGGAGAATTCTGGTAGGTATACAAGACACTTTCCCACTGTTCAAACAGGGGCTCCTGTAGAATTTCATCTTGGGACACGCACACAAACATATATTTGTAAAATAAAAACATGTTTTTTCAGACAAATGGGGAAAATAAAGTGGCTTTAGTAGCTCTGCAGAACATCAAAAATAGGAACAGCCTGATCATTAACTGAAGACGCAACCGATGCTTCCGGTGTAGACAGCGCCACTGATTGTATCACACACACACACACACACACACATCTCCCACTGATTGTATCACACACACACACACACACACACATCTCTCTCTATCTCTTATTATTGTGGAGCATTGCCATACCTAAATTACAGTATATAACACTACTAAGACTACTACTACTAATAATTGCCGTCAGCACATCCCTTAACAGGCCATCTAGTTAATTTTTATTTATTTATTTATTATTTATTAAAGTGTCTTGCACTTACATGCCCAGCCCTTAGGCTTAAAAGACACTAATGACATAAAACAAACATAATACACAAAGATGACCATCATACAAAGCACATAGGAAAACAACCATCAAAAAGAAAACTATATCATCATCATTTTCACAGTATAAAAACAAACAAAACAAAACAAGACACCGTCAATTTAGATCAGGATATAAATTCATTTGCCTAAGTTTCCACGCCTTTTCCACATATCTAGCTAAACTATAAATTTCATTTTCAAAGAGCCAATTCAACATATTCGACATAGTTAAAGTCTGCCTGTGTCTCGACTTCATAAGCGCTTGTGTTTTTCAGGATTGGAGTAGACGACTTTTGCCGTCTGTTTAATACAGTGGAAATGTGCAGTGTGAATCCGGACTCCATGTCGGGGGAGGCGAGTGATGACACGGCCACCCCGTCCTGGACACTGAGCTCACATCAAGGCACCTGGGTCCCAATGTGCTCTGCAGGAGGCTGCCGAAAATACCCCAGTAAGTGCATGTTTATTAGGAATAAGTCTATATCAGTGGCTCTCATCCCACTAGGGGGCCTCAGCGAACTTCCAAGGTGGTCTCAAGATGACTTAAAATGATTTAGACAAAACATTAAACAATAAAATTATTTAAATCAAGATATTTCTTATTTTTTGGGGGAACGAGGGTTTCCACAGTCTTCCCACACTCTTAAAAGATTAGGGTTCAGTCAGGAGCTTCATAAATAGAACCTTCCCAGCATGGATTCATTTTATGGATTTAATTCTTATTTATTTTTTAATCCATTTTTTATTTTAATTACATTTTACAAAATGAACGGCTTGTAAACATACTTTATCACTAGAAAATAATTGAAATAACTTATTAAAAATAAAAGTATAATGCAATTTGTCATTAGAACCTTTTTGGCATTAAGGGTTCTTTAAAATTGAGTCAAGAACACTAGCGTTCTATATAGAAGCTTGCTCCATTGAACCTTGTTTTAAATAGTGCATAGTCTAATTTTAAAAGTGTTATTTCTAGACCTGGAAAAGTAATGTAAATTAATAAAATCTCGCTAAAATCCATGGCCATTTTTATAATGAGAATACATTCAAGTTTTTCTAGTTATGCCAAGCTCTACAATATTTTATTGAGGGTCCTTGGAGTCAAAAAAGATGAGAATGTGAGAGTATAATATAATATTATATAATATAACATAACATAATATAATATAATATACAGACAATAATCAAGTAAATGTTTGGTTATTTTTCAGCATTAATTATTTGCTCTAAGAATATTGTTACTGTAATTTCTTCCTCTGCTTCCCTTAACCTGCTTCTCCCTGTATTCCTCCTTTACATTTCATCCCTGCAGGATCTTTCTGGAAAAACCCTCAGTTCCAGATGATTCTGTCTGAGAAAGATGTGGATGACAATGACTATGGAGAGGATGAAGAAGGGGAGGAAGGGGATGGAGAAGAGGATGAAGACGTCAGTTTAGTGGCTCCTAAGAGCAAGACTGGGAAACAGGGAGAGAAAAAGAAGAAGTGCACGATTCTGGTGGAGCTTCTCCAGAAATACCGCAGACAGAAAGACAAAATCAACTTCCTCTACATCGCATTTCACATCTACAAGGTGAGATAATGATGAGGGTCTTTAACCTTTAGAGATGGAGTAGGGAAGCCTGTTACAAAAGAGTAAGCTTTGGTTGAAGTTAACAAAATGTTTGTTTTTGGTTAATGCACTTTTTCAATTATTTTAATTAGTTTGAGATCAGTTACTAGCAGACCTGCAGTACCACCCCTTTTAACTCTTTCCCCTCCATTGACAGAAATTTACAGTATCCATATTTTCACTGTTATACGGTAGGGGGCGCTATTACACATCTACTAAAAAAAATACAGTTTCTGGATCAAAACACAGGAGAAGAAGAAGCAGAAACAAGCAATAGTAGCATTGCTTACGCACATGTAAAATAATGCGATCATCAAACATTAAACAGCATATAAATTAAAACTGCCTAATGTTACTGAATGAAATGTCGACCCAGTACGAGGTATAGATCTGTGAAGCTTTGAGTGTGTTGATGGACTCGATCTACTCAAACTATCTTTTGATCATCATGCTGAATCCCTAGATTGTTCAAAATGTTGCTTTTTTATTAAACTCACCCACATTTAAGTGTTGATAAAAGAATGCGTGAAGCTAGTTTAAGCAGAGGCTCTGTTCTTTTAGATATATTGTTCGTTCACATATTATTCATTCAGCAAAATATTCTGGGGGCCATGAAAGTTTTGTGAAAATGATCAAAAATGCTGGGTTTGGCTGGAAACTTTTTTGTTTTTGAACGCCGGCGGGGAATGAGTTAAAGGCTCCTGCTTGAGTTGCAAATTCAGCTGGCCCTTTTGTATTTCCCCCTCGTCTTACCTCTTCATTCTCTCTTTCAGGTCCCCTCTGAGGTGAGCGGCTCAATGAATAATGAATATAAAACACTCATCTAAAACATTTCTTAATACATGACGACGTTATTGAGATATAACATGCACGCTCTTTCACATCGTTTCTACATTCAGCTGCAGGAAAAACCAGGATCTCTGGACCAGCAGTTCTTCTCCAACAACCGTGCGGTGGCTCGCTCTGGAAAGTACCGGAGCATCAGGAGCGTGTGGAGGAAGGTTCACCTGGAGCCTGGAAGTTATGTTATCCTAGCCTCCACCTTCAGGCCCAACCAGCAGGGGGAGTTCTTCCTCCGCATTTACACCAAAACCGGCAACATACAGGGGTACAAACAACAGCAAACATCTGTTTCTGTCAGCTCTCTGTTGTGATTATGTGTTTATGTCTGTCCAGTGGTTAACCATATGAAAGTTTCAAATCTGCTTTACAGATTCCAGGATTTCCCCTGCACCAACAACTACTCTGTGGTAAGACATGTACTGACTGAAATGAGAAAGAAGAACAACCGTCTGAGTGTAAATATGATATTATTATGTGTGTAACTCAAACTGACTACATTCTTTGTGTCCATAGATGGTCATGTCAAAGCCAGCCTTACCTGAGGACCAGTTTAGGGTGCAGAAGTGGTTTGATGAAAAGGCTGGATCTGTAAGCATTTCAATCCCATCCAAGTCACAATCTAGAATATTTGTGGAATTCAGTGTTTATTAGTAAATACAACTGTTGTATTCAAATATGTAATTGTTTTTCACTTTCCAGGATGACAGAGTGAATGCTGTGCAATTCATGAATCTGATGAATTCAGGTCAGGATTTACACGTTTGACACAAGCTGTCAGTCAAGCAAACATGGTTGCTGTTCCATTAATGGCCACAAGGTGGAAGTGTCTTTTAGTGCCACCTAGAATAAACTCAAGCTGCAATATATATTCACCCACTATAAGAAAAAAGTACTAAAGCAACTTTTTAGACTGTAAAAATGAATTGAATTCAATTTCATTTTTACACTACCATTCATATCAGTTGCCTAAAGCTCTTTTATTTGACATGGGATAGATTGACATGTGATAAACCCCCTATTATCAGACACATTCAGTTTCAGAATTAATCATTCGTGACAAAACACATCTCCAAAAACAGTATTCCTGTAATGATATTAGTAAACAAATATGTTTGCTTCTGGTTCATGACAAGTGCCAGTATAGTCTCTTCAATTCCTCTTCAAAACAAGTGCTTTATAAAGTCATATTCCTGTTTACGTGTTTTAATTATGTTTTAGTGTTGGAAAAAGACTATGAGCTTCCTCTGGAGACCTGCAGACAGCTCATCTTTGGAGAAGATGTATCCTTCTTTCACCTTGATGCAATGTTTTTATTATGTTTAATATATCCTTTTACATTACTGTTTAAAAGTTTATGCTCAATAATATTTTTTTAATTAATAAAATTCAGCAAGGATGCATTCAACTAATTAAAAGTGACATGAAAGACATTTGTAATGGTACAAAAGATTATAAAGGTATAAAAGGTATGTGCTATGTTCAGGGAAAAACATACTGTCAAATAAAAATAAAGAAAATAATACAAGCGACAACAGAAATTAATACAACAGAGCAAATAAAATAAAATAAAAAATAGTGCTTTTCAGGTATCTAACAGTAGTTTTCTGAATAAAGAAATCAAATGTAAAACAAAATTGCATATAATCTTCACTGTGTAAATTAAATAAAGATTAATTATTATTAAAGTTACAAAAGCTATTCAGTCAAGAGCGGTAAATGATTTCCTTGTCTTTTGTTGTTTGATTAACATTATAAAACATAGGTAGCAGGAATATTAGGCTGCTGTCACTTTAAGACACAATGCACTGATACTGATACTGGTACACGTGCGTTGGTTATCGACTGTTTACATTCATTTAAGACATAACCTACTATGTTTGCTAGGATACTTGCCAAAACCGGCATGTTGACATCATTTTTGTGTGAAGTTAAAGCGCAAGACTCAATATTTGTGCACTTTCTTGTCTTCTTGCGCTTGAATGTTTAAATTGGCAAGGCTTAAATGAGTTTAGTAACATAAAACACAGATAGTAACATGTGCTGTTCAGGTCTCACCTGTGTTCACGTATATTATATAAATGTATATATTATTAACATTTGAGTTTTTCTCCCGCTACTTGTATATATTCTTAACGGCGGTGTGTAGACTGGAGGCAGAGGCCGTCTGAACAGAGCTCAAGCAGAGAAGCTGCTCACCTCCCTACGCAATCTGCAGGTATCTCAGTTCTCATGCGTGAAAAGGTCACTCTCGGCTTTGGCACAGTGTTAGAGAGAGCAGTGGGGACACTGAGCTGTGACAATTATCAGGTTGTGTTTGGTTACATGGAGCTCGTCTTGCACAGACAAAAAGACCTTGAAATGTTGTTGTTGTTTATCGTGTTGACGAACTCAATTGCTTTAGAGCTCTGTGCCAGTGTCATATTGAAGCTAAATCCCGATCACTGGCTTCCTTTCAAGTGCCGAGAAAACATGAGGAAATTACTTGCTGAAATTTTGTTTCTTCCACAGTCTATCTTTTTCCAGTTTGATGAGGATTCGTCAGGAACTATGAGTCCGTTTGAACTCAGTTTGGCTCTGAATGCTGCAGGTGAGCACACACACAGCAGCAGAATACAGTTGTCAGTCCTGTTTCTGAGTCCTTAATGCGGTTACGTTCACACACAGTTCAGTTGGGAGTGACAACCGCAACTCACACCTGTAAATTTTCAGGCATTCATGAACAGAACCAGACTGGACAACTAGTTTTCTGTCACGTCCCACGGCGCGAGAGAGCCGCTCTGTGCTGCACAAACACATGCCTACTGAGTGTTGTGGGTTTTCATGTGTGGTTTCGCTAAGTGTGATGGAGATACAAGGCTTTTAGACCAACCGCAGCTGCTTCTGTCAGATTTCTGTTCTACTCATGACTCAAATGCTCCGATCTCCACCAGATATAAACACTGGAAGATCGACGGATGAACTCGTGGCTCGAGTCTCATAGACTCTTGTTGTATGAAAAGTGACACGACTTTTCAGTTTTATGGACGTCGCCATCTTTGATATTACTTTTGTTCACTGTCGCGATGGTAACTGGTTAGAGTATGAACTTGACTCTCGTTGCACGTTCATACAGACAGTATTGAGACGCTACTGTAAGTTGCAGTGTGTACGGGACATTTCGAGACTGACACCTGTAAGTAAATGAGGTTGTCAATCCCAAACTGATAGTGTGAACGTCGCCACACGCAAAGACCACACCCTGTATTTATAAACAAAGAGAAATGTACATTCTCTACACTTCTCCGCTGCTCTCACATTCCCTCCCCCTCTTTCTGTGTCTGTTCTTACCCTCAGGTGTGGAGTGTGACAATGTGGTGGAGCAGATGTTGTGGGAGAGGTTTGGCGCTGGTGAACAGTACCTGCCCTTCTATGGCTTTGTGTCTTGTGTTGCCAGACTGCAGGTGCTCTTTGGTAAGTCCTTCCATGACCTGAGAGACCAGGTAAAAATAAAATAAATAACCGCCCATATTTACTGGGAACTTAAAATGTGTCTATCTGTGCTCCTGGAAAGTGTCTACTACTTAAAGTCACCATGAAATCAAAATTGACAATTCTTATTATTTTATGAAATATTGTAGAATTTATTATAAATGATTTGTGCGTGCACTTTATTTTTTTCTTAATCATGTGCCCTCATAATCTTTCATCAAAATTACTTCCCCTCCCTCTTGCGAAAGACATCTCTTCTCTAATGACAAGGGCGGGGAAACCTGTCACTCACATGAGACTGACCAATAGCAAACCACAACCATCCAATCAATTCACAATGGACAAAATCAAGTCCCGCCAAAAAGTTTTGGTTGGGATAAAAAAATGGATACAATTTTGTCAAATTTTGACACTTCTGACAGAGATGAGAGGATTTCTAATACATCATAATGAAAAGTAAAGGATGTACATTAGGTGTTTCATTGATGATATGTTTTATATAATTATTTTGCTTTCACGGAGAATGATGGGAAGTGTATATATGTGTTAATATAAATTTTTCACTGGTGTTTTACTCGTTTTACTTGAATTACGCATTACATTTAGTTTTTTAGGCTTAAAGGAAATGTCTGTAAACTGAACAGATTTTTCTATAGATTTTTTTCTTACAGTGTATTTTCGTCATGCAAGTAGTGTTTTCTGGGAACCTTTATTTCCATTCTTTATCAACAGTAAACAAATTCTGACTTAATTTGATAGCTTTTTTAATTATTTAGGATCAGATCTTGTATGATTTTTAAATTAAAATGCCTAAAATTAAGAAAGTGACTCGATGTAAGTTGAAGGTAGCATACAATACTGTTCAAATGTTTTGGATAAGTATGATTTTTTGAAAGAAACTAATGCTTTTACTCAGCAAGGATGCAATAAACTGATCAAATGTGACAGTAAAGACAAAGATTTCCATTTAAAATAAATGCTGTTCTTTTGAACTTTCTGTTCATCAAAGTATTAAGATTAAAATATTAAAGGTGCTGTATGTAACTTTTTCACTCGACTAAAGCATAAAAATACCATAATATGTTTCCATATATTGAGAAAACGTGCTAAGTTCACATACTCGTTTCTCTGAAAAACACTTCTACAGCCAGTTATTTTACTTTGAAATGTGCGTTTCCAGGCTGGAATGTTTGTTATTGTTTTGGTCTGTGATATTGCACGTTGCCAGTTTGCCAATTTTCATTGTCCATCGCGCTCGTTCCTGTTGCGTGTGGTCAAACTGGCAACCAGTGTGAGCGCCGTCCAGTCTGAGGAGGAGGGGGCGGGAGAAACGACGATCTCCGATATTTTAAAGTGACTGCAGTACCTATTTCGACCACTAGTTGTCATTCTTACATACTGCACCTTTAAGCAGCACGATTGTTTTCAACATCGATATTAATAAGAAATGTTTCAAATCAGCATATTAGAAGGATTTCTGGCGGATCACATGACACTGAAGACAGGAGTAATGATGCTGAAAATTAAGCTTCGCATCACAGTAATAATATTGTAATAATTGTAATAATATTTCACAATATTAGCGTTTTTACTGTACTCATTTGATCAAATAATTGATGAGCATAAGAGAACTCAAAAACAATAAAAAAAAAATTGTACGAGCCCAAACTTTTGAACAGTAGGGTCGGGTGTGTCTATTTATAATACATGTGAAGTCAGTGGACACTTTATGAGATACACCTGCTTGTTAATGCAAATATTTCAAACAGCCAATCATGCAGCAGCGTTTGAACACATTTGAATGACAATCAGTTGTTGTTCAAACTAAAAAACAGAATATGAAAGGAATATAATCGAAGTGACTTTGACCGTAAAAATGATTGCTCGTGCGAGACGCAATGGTTTTAGTTTCTTTTGTTCACGGCGGTCTCTAGAATCTGCAGAAAAGGTGTAAAAAACACAAAAACATCCAGTGCTGTGGCCAAAAATGCCTATTTATTCAGAGAGGTCAGAGGGGAATGGCCAGACGGGTTCAAGCGGACAGGAAGGGGACAGTAACTGAAATAACCAGACGTTACAGCAGCGCTATATATGCAGAAGAGCCTTTCTAAACACACACTGCATGTCAAATGTGGCGGTGGACGTTTCAGATCATGTTCCGCTCCTGTCAGCTAAGAATAGGACACTGAGGCTACAGTGGACACAAACTCACCAAAACTTGTCAGTAGAAGACTGGAAAAACATTCCCTGGTCTGAAGAGTCCTTTGGTGACATTCAGATGAAGGGGTCAATGTTTCTTGCGTACAGTGTGAATGTATGGCAGCATGCAGAGGTAGGAAGGCAACACCCGAATCCAATGATCGTGTCACATCTTGTTTACCGAGGCCCTGTTTACAGCTGGTATTAAGATGCATTTTGGTCGATTGGATCACAAGTAGACGAGGGAGACACATTCCCTTTTACTGCTGGTGTTTCAATCTCTTTTGTCCACTTTTAATCACTTCTGTCCTGGTTTCTTTGAGGGGAGGGTCTATGTAAGGGTATTTTCAGATCTTTCAATCTAATGGACAAAAAAAAGCTCATGCAATTTACATATGAACACGACCGGAGACGACAAAAACACACGGAGAGCATCAGATTTAGTTTCTGCTCTGACAGCCCTAAGACCAGCCGAACGCTGCGAGTGTGTGTTAGAAACCAGGAATGGTGAGAGAACATTGTGCTTGGTACATTTTCCTTCTTCAAACCAAACTTGAGTCTCCAGCCGACAAAGTTTAAATCCCGTGTGGCTAGTCGCTTCCCATAAAGTTTCAGTAGGCGGAGAGTGGGCGTCTTTTACACGAGTGTTTACACTACGAAAGCAATCCGGTCGGATGTGTTTTCGACTACCTAGTAGTAGTAGTAGTGTTTATTTATCCCCATAGGGAAAGTAGTTTGCAACAAGTTCAGACAGACATTTAAAAAAATCACAGTTGGCATATACAAACAATAATTTAAAGCAAATAAATCTAATTTAGGATAACCATACCAGCTGAACATCAATCAACACTAGAAGAAGTGGTTTTAGACCCCGTTTACTCCTGTATTTATCATCGTCCACTTGTGATCCGATCGACCAAAACGCATCTTAATTCCAGGTATAAACGGGGCCTGAGATACCTTCCTCTGAATGCAGCTTATGTATCCTTCGCTGCCCTTTAAACACCGAAATGCTGCTTATTCAAACGCACACATACACAAACAAAATGAAAATTCAACCAGATACGTCACTTACGTCATAAAGGGTTGAATACAAAACCCGCTTTTTATGCATAAACGCCACTTTTTCCTAAGCTACTTATTAGAAATCTGTACCTTTTAAAATAGGCACTGATTATATCTAGTCATTTTGTTTCGATTGAATTTGCTTTATGACATATGGTTATCGCTATCTGCATCCAGTGTGAAGGTAAATATAATCATGCAGCACTGCATCTCATCATGATGTTTATTGGCAAGCTTCAAAGCTGTCGAGATGATGTCCGTGACGTCATTATCAGTGATGCGAGTGTGTGTGGATTGTCTGTAAACATGTTAATTGGGAGGATTCAGCTTGCCGATTGTTTCTTCTCAGATCTTTACGAGTCGGAGACCAACCCAGAGGTGAAGGAAAAGGGCATCAACGCTGTAAGATCTTCTCTAAATGCCTTGTTTGTCAAAACCAGCTCGAATCTTTCAATCTCTTCCACACTCATCTTCGAATCCCCTCTGACTGATGTTAAAATGATTAACACTAAATAATAATGTCAATCACACACAGCATGTCCAGGTATAGTCAATATCAATTTGATATAAATGTGTCTTACAGATATTTATAGTCAATAAAAGTACAATAAACAAGGCAAGCTGTGTGATTTTTTTAAATGTATACTATTAATATTAATACTAAAATAAATAAATCCTATTTTGATTTCTTCAATCCTAGAGATGGTTTAAAAGGATAGTTCACCCAAAATTATGTCATAATTTTCCCTCATGTCGTTCTGTATTTCTTTTCAATATGTGGAACATAAAAGACATTTTTGAGAAATGTCTCTTAGTTTTTTTTTGGTTTCTAACATTTTTCAAAATATCTTTATATTCCACAGAAGAAAGAAAGTAATACGGGTTTAGATCAACATGTGAGTAAAAAAAAACCTCGGGTGCTTTTCACGTGGCGCTCAATTTCTTTTTCTTTTTTTTTAATGAAATAAATGAGCTATATTTTAATTCGATAATGTTTTTTATTTAATATTTTGTATTGTGGGTATTTTATGGTACTAAATTATATTTACGCAGTAGTTATAATCCATTTATTCACTTTTTGAGCAAAGACCTCAAATGAAATTTCCAATTTAAATCGTCATAAATCTTGAATGCTTTGGAGCCCAGACTTAAGTTTGGTCTCTTTAAAGACGACACTTTAAAGAAGACACATTAAAATACTATTTTAAATTTTTATATGAAATATGTATTTTCCAAAACATTTTTTACTCTAAAACTGCGAGATAATCAAATCAAAGTTGTGTTCCTATTTTGAGTTAATTTAAAAAAAAAAAACACTTTCAGTAAGATTTTGTTTGGGCGGAGTACCAAACGTTTAAACTAGATGAAATTATTTCCCAATCATTTCCAATGCCATAATTTTTGACCACGAGAAGTAAAGTGTGACTCCTCTGTGAGAAGTAAAATGCACACTTGGTCAGCATTTGCTGTAGCAGTTGCAGCGCACTTTCAGAAACCCTCCACCTTCCCCAGCTCCACCTGTATAAATCTGCTACTGGTAATTTATGTATGCTATAATGTACAGCAGAAGTGTGTCGTGTGTGTATTGTCAGTAGCAAGTCATGTCCTTGATCTGCAGCATTGTAGCAGATCTATTTAACCAAGACCATACATATCAACATTGTCATATCCATTACCATGCCAAACACCCCGAGAGTTGTCATGATATTTTTAGGTGACCTATCCCTAAGGTTATATGTATCTATAGCATGTATGTACTATATAAGCATATATTTATTAGTGTGCACAGCACATTTACTGATTTGTTTCTCTCATCTCTGTTCAGTGGCTGCTCAGGCTGTTGGCTGTGTGAGGCTGTCCAGACCCGACACCTCAGCGGGACAGTTCTGCTAGGCCAAGACTGCTCTGACGTCATCCACCTGGGTCTACGCCTCCTACATCTCCCCCCTTCTATCTCATATGTGATATGTGGACATTTGCCCTGCAGTTGCTTCAACCCACTCACTGCTCCATCAGTCGGGGTCTATGACCATGTAGTTCAACACCGCCTGGATACAAAACATTTCATCCCATTTACCCACATTTAAGAGATTTTAAAGATATTTTTACTTGTAATTTAACATTTTATCATCATTTACTCACCCTCATGTCGTTCCAAACCCATATGACACTTTTTCTTCTGTGGACCAAAAGAAGTTATTTAAGCACAATGTCCAAGTTACTACCGGTATTTTTGCAACAGTTCTGATCACCATTCACTTTCAGTGCAGGGAAAAGAGCAGCTTGGACATTCTGCTAAATATCTACGTTTGTCTTCCACAGATACGAAATACACAGAAATACATACGGGTTTGTAATGAAGGTAAATGATGACAAAATGTAAAAAAACAAACACAAAAAACATTCTATATCTAAAAAGCATTGTAGCACATTTATACATTTAATTAATAGAGCTGCCAATTTAGTGGCAGCAAATGTTGATATATCCCTTGTAACAAGCAGCCTAATTGCTATTTTTTTTTTTTCATTCGGACAGCATGACTCGTACTTCCTCTTGTACTTTTTCCCTCTTATGAACATTGTGTATCTTTGCTTAATGTCTTCAAAAGTCAAGAATGCTTCCAAAAATAAAAGCACCAAGTCATAATCTTTCATCACAGGGCATTTCTATATTAATTTTTTTCTGTGCGTATACCTACACCTCCACACACACACACTCACTCACTCACTCACTCACACACACATTGTTCAGGGAGCGATATAGTAGCTGTGGGTATTAAAAGCGATGTCTCAGCAGCCCTGCACGCACCGGCTCTATTCTTATCGCTCTGACGCCACGCACAGCGTCATCACGCCATCGCTCCCTCCTCCGCTACGCTCTCCCTGCATCCCTCCCTCTAGCTCTCTAGTAACTGTCTCATTCTCACAATCTGCTTCCTCCTCCTCGCGTACCTTGCGCTCGCTCACACATGCGCGTATGCTTGCTCACACACACACACTCACACACTTGTCCTCTCTCCCGCTGCTCATATTAATAGAAACCTTTGCTCACACAATGCTTCCTCCCTGTCGTAAGGTGACCGAACAGAGGTTGCCCCCAGCAACAGTCCACACATGTCTGTCATTGCTCTCTTGATCACTTCCTCTTCCATACTTTGCCAGTTACATCTTGTACTTTTTAGGCCATAATCCCTTTGTGTATTGGCTTTTCTTAAAGCTACTCTTGACTCGGTTATCCCTGTCTGCCTGTCCTGCTCTCTGTCTGATATTTTAATAATATCTGGAGACGGTCATCCGTTAGTGTTGACCTAATGCGATTTGAAATCGGCCATCTTTGCTCATGGACGCTCATTTCGGCTACTTGTTTTTTTTTACCAATCACTTGAGCTGCAAATGACATGTGACTGATTACTCTAGATTTCATTGGTGGATGGCGTCACAAGAACGCTAACAATCCCAAATCTTGAACTGGGATGTGAAAATCAGCATTGCGCACTGGTAAAACATTCCCTATAATGAAATATTGGGCATATACAGACTGCTTACCTAATTTAAAATATTATGTTTCCATCCACATTTGTATGTGGATTTTGGGGATATCACATAAAATTACATTGGATGGAAACCCCAAAGTGCACATAAAATCTAAAAATGCGCATAAAAAACTGTATGGAAATGGTGCTCTATTCGCCAATGTTTTTTTGTGATATTCCAATTTTGCGCATAAGTTAATTTAGCAACTTTGGATGAAAATGTAGCTAATGAAGAAAGTTGCTTTTGGGGCCCAAATAGTGTAGTTATGGCATCCACTAGCACACATTCTTGCATTTAAATAATGAATATATATTTACATGTTCTGTCCGCCAATGAAAAACGAAGACTTTACAATTACACCCGGGAATCAAATATCTAACCCATGAATGTCACTTATCTTAAAAGTAAGAATAATATTACTGAATACCACACTATAAAACTGCAAAAGACGTGCCATGCCACCAAATACATACCATTTTAAAGCAGTCACAATGTTTTTTCAGAGTGATTTGCCCTAAAATAGAAGCATTAAAAGGTTAGTGTTTTCCTGTGGACAGAATGAGTGTCTGCCAAAAACACTGGAGACCAAGGTTACTCACACACAGTAGCTTCCGTACACATTTGACTTTAACCATTTTGTAGAAATATTCATTCGTTGACCATTTGAAAAATTCAGCAGTATTTAATAATAACATTATTATTTTAGAAGAAAGATATATTCTCCCTTTAACTGAGATGTGAACTCTGCCTCTGACTCAATGCCTGATGTTTTAAACCTGTTCCTACAGCCATGTCTGTGCATAAGATTTGCGTTCTAATCAGATAAAGCTGATTTGTTTAGAGAGACCTATAAAAAAGTTTGCCTACCTGAATATGCACAAGCCAAGATGACAGATGGCCGTTAAATAAATTCTATACGGGGGTTTTCTGAGAAAGGACTAAAATAACCAAAGAATTAGAGGTATCGGGGTATCTGGCAGAACATTTACTTTGATTGAATCTAATTACTAAGGAGGAAAGTGGCACAGCAGCTTGCCGAACATGTGTCTGTGTGACTGATTCCTCCAACCTTTTCTCCACCTCCCTCCATCTGTGTTCATGTTATCGTTCTTTTCTCCGTCATCCCTCGTTTCATTCCCCCATTGATCCCATTGGTGCGCAGCAGTGACATGTTTTGCCTCTATTTCTTGCCGACACTTGGTACAGTTGTATGGGGGTGGACGACAGGAATAGCTCCAGAGTTGTATCGCAGTGTGTGTGGGAGCGTGTTCAGAGTGGTACTCCGTAAGGAAGGTGCCTTCTTCAAGTTGACTGCCAAGATGCATTTTTAGACCTGGCTGGAGAACACAATACTACTGAACTTGATGTCACTGGATGTACTAATAGATATTTACCTGAAGTATTTTAATACGAGGCAATCGTGTCATTTTGAGCCAGAAAGCGGCTGTCTCTGAGCTTCATCACCCTGAGAATATGTATCAGTCAAACGGTCGTTTTCACCCAAAGTAAATGAAGTGAGCGTTTAGAAGTCAGTGCCTATGAACAACAACAATATGGGTAAAATGTCAACTCTTTGGGTGTGAGTGCATCACACATTGACTAATGCGTCACTCAAACTGCATTTGACTGTTTGCCCCCACACTGACTACTTTGTTAAATGTGTTCACTTTTACGTCAATTCATTAGGGGCTGACGCATTAATGAAACTGGGGTGAACTTGATACTTTTTTATGCATGTTTTAAAAATACATACCGATAAATTGGCCGGATGGTGTAGGTATTTGTGCGCCCACTGCAGTGAGGTTGCATGTGCCTGAGGAAAAGAGTAATATGATATCAAAGTAATAGACTGATAATCAGCAGGTAGATTTTTTTTTCTAATTGCTAACTTACATCTGTATTTATCGAATAACAACTACGATAATTGCTCATAATTGCACTGGTAAAGGTGCCTTAATGCTATATAATTAAAGACTGAAGTGCCTTTAGTTCAGTATAATGAGAAAAGTGCAGTTTTGACTAAATTGCTCAATTATTTAGGCTACATGCATAAAACCGACTACGGACTATTTCACAAGTCTGAATGCTTTGTGTGAACCAGGCACTCAAAGAAGCTTCAAATCTCTGAGGAATCAATCTTCCGGCATTAAATGTCAACCTTCTACAACCATAATGCCATGGGCCATCAGTAAACATCTCCAGGCTTGTGTCTAGAACTAAAGACACTGAAAACTGTGCAGGTTGTGTTACCCTACGGAGCTATTTCTATCTGATAGACGTTAAAAAATTTCATCTTAACCTTAAGTTGGGATTTATTCTCCAAACATTTGAATCACTCTTGCCTGATTAAAATGTAAGATTATGTGATCTCTCTCCGTATGCTAAAAAGAGTTTGGGACATCTACTGTAGCTATACAGTCTTTGCTCATTATTTACTCATCCTCATGTCATTCCAAAACTGTGTTTCTTCGATGGAACACAAAAGAAGATATTTTGAATAGCATTGGGAACCAAACAGCATTAGACCCCCTTGACCTTAAAGGTGACCTATAATTCAAAATTGAATTTACCTTGGTATAGTCAAATAACAAGAGTTCAGTGCATGGACATGACATAGACTGAATCTCAAACAGGACTGTTTTCGCGTTCTCATTTAATTCACGTTTATGAAAAACACCCCTGAAAAACGGTCGGTTCTCCACACAATACCGACTGTGACGCAATAGTCGGGATCATTAATATGTACGCCTCCAAATATTTGCATAATGCCAGCTGTTACGTCCGTAAGAATGTTTGTGTGTGGGAGGGGATTGTTTTTCCACTCTATCTGTTTCTCTCACTTTCACTTTCTTAGGCTGTTGCTGATTGGCTATCGTGCTTGTCAGTTAAGACAATGAGTGGCCGCGCCTTGGAAGGCGGGATCGGCATTAGCGTGATGAGTGACACCTGGTGAAGTGGATACTTAAAGACCATGCTGCTGCAGGCTGGAAGAGAAACCTTGTCTTGTCTTGTCTTGTGAGAACTTTGCTTTGTCTTGTTGTGAGAGAACCCTGTTTTGAGAGAACCTTGTACGTTGTTCACCTGTATGCTCATTGATCTTTGTTTTGGCTGCATCCAAAACCTTCTCCTTTGTGAACGTGGCGGTCTACAGAGAAGAAGGGGCTAAGTTTGTCACGTGACATACATGGTGCACACGTAGCGAAATCTGTCTGTATTACAAACACTAGTTAGGGAATTGTGCCACCCGCTGTATTTATGTTTTTTAGTTAGTGTAGCTTTAGTTATGACGTCTTGGATGTTGAAGACTTTTCTTTTTGGGTTTTCTTTGTATCGTAGTATTAGTTGTTTAATGGGTTAGATAACCTTTATGTTTATGTTACTTTCATTATTTTGGCACAATTCATTTACCCCTTTTTCCTTTGTGGTTGGTTCTGTTATATCTTTATTCATTATCATACTTATTAAAACTTATTCACTTTATTCAGTGGTCTCTCGTGTTTTCTCACCTCATTCAGTGTTATAGTGTGACGTGTCTGATA